GTGGGGATTGTAACGCCGTGTATGTAGGAGAAACTTCCAGACAGGTAAATATAAGAGCGAAAGAGCATAAACTATGTCTAAAGGTGGTTCCAAAGACCTCTGCAGACTTGAAGAAGCTCGAAAACAACTCAGCGATTGCACTACTCTCGATAGAAACGGGACACAAAATCGACTTTGATAAGACTAAGGTTTTACAGAAAGGTTTTGGTTCATATCAAGAAAGACTGACTGCAGAAGCCCTACATATATGGGTGAATCCCAACAGTTTAAACAGACGTGAAGGTGTGATGTTAGCTGATGCATGGCAAATTCTGACTAATAAATAAAATAAAATTTGATATGTATGAACAAGTAGTCACACTTGGTCAAATTCCCGATTGTCTACGTCTTCTTATGGAGAGAATAACAAATCTATAAAAATTAAATTATATTTATAAAAATGTCAATTATTTTGCAACTATCCGGTCAAATCTTGATCACAGCTCATATGAGAATAGCAAATGTTTTATGACTGTTCACCCACACACACACACACACCATTGTATACTGCATATACACATATATTTTAACAAAAGTAGACAAATTTTGAAAGTCTGAGGTCAAAAAGTTTTTGATCAAAGTTCATACAATTTTTGTTTTGTTTTGTTTAGTATACCCATTGATAAGTGTTTCTTCATTCATATTTAAAAATAAGAGATGTACTTTTATATACAAACATACAATTCTATTTATTTATTTATTATAAATGTTGATACCTGTTCCATGACCCATCAGTGGACAAAATTTGAAAATACATGACGTGTCCCTTTATATATAAACCTTTGTTATGTTAATTTCGATTAATTCCCCTGAAGAAGTTCGGACCAGATTGCCGATCGAAACCTTAGAATTAACCATTTCAATTTCGCGAGATGATATCGTTTCGTAGTTTCTTTACAACCGCTTTACAACTAACATGGTTAACAATGATAAAATAAAGTTCAGGAAAATTACTCAGTTAAATAAAAACAAAAGTACATACTAATGACCAATCATATTAAGATAGGTCATGAAGTCCAGGGTAGGCGAAGATTGAAGTCTATTGATTTTTGTATACACAGTTTAGGCTGTATGTGATTAATCCAAAGTGCTTCCATCACCTTCAATAACCTTGAATTAGAGTTATGTGAAATAATTGTGAAACAGTCATTAATATTGATTTTGTGATCTGACATTAATAAGTGCATTACAATGGATGATACTGGATTTCTATTCAGATTAATCGCGTTAGGATTTTCGATATGATTTACTAGCCATTTTGGAACATGTTCTTTTCGACGACATTGGAACATTTTGTTGGTTCTACCTATATAGGTGTCACCGCAGCTGCAGGTGAACTTGTAGATACAGTTTGAAGTAGAGTCCACAAAATTTCGTCCTTTAATCGTAGGTACAGGGATCGAAAATGTTCGGCAAGTGAGAAAAAGAGATGCGGCGTAGAATGTGCGTTTGATGGCTGACCGAAGTCTTTGAGCTGTCAACTGCATAATCTGGTCGCCCTTGAATGGTAGATTAATAAAGATGGCTTTCTTTGGTACAGAAGCAGTCTTTTCAAGATGTGGTCTATCCTTACCGTGACAATTGATGAAGTTTTCTGGATAACCATTGGCTAGTAAAACTGAATGTATATGTCGAAGCTCATCCATCAATGTGTCACTCGTACATATTTTTCGAGCCCTTGAGAACAAACATTTCACCAGGGAACGTTTATACTGGATAGGAACAAAACTGGTAAAATGAAGATATTGTCTACTCCACGTCTGTTTACGAAAAATAGAGCGCTGAATCGTTCCATCATTTCTCCTAGTCATAGTAATATCCAGGAAACCGAGTTTGTTATTGGATTCTAGTTCGGAGGTCACTCGAATATTTGGATGGATATGATTAAATAGGGTGATAAAGTTTTCAATAGATTTGCTATTATTACTAATAATAAGAGTATCATCTACATAACGTTTGTACAGCATAAATTCTCCAAGCATACCTTGCATTTGTTTCTCTAATTTCGACATAAATATATCTGCTAACAGGGGCCCCAGAGGGCTACCCATTGCAACACCGTCGATTTGTTTGTATGCTTTTCCTTGGAATGTGAATCTAATATTTTCTGTACACATTAAGATGATGTCCTTGATGTACGTTACAGGAATAGGTAAGTTTATCCCGTTGCTTGTGATGTAGTCGCAAATGAAATCAACAGTTTCTTGAAGGGGAACATTGGTGAATAAAGATTCTATGTCGATTGAACACATAACCTTTTCCTTAATGTTCAAGGTGTCTAGCATTTCTGTAAGATCAAATGAACTTTTTATAGAGTGATTTGATAATGAGTCTCTTACAGGCGTAAGGACCTCTGTAATCCATTTGGCGATTTTATGGTAAGGAGAATTTGACATATCTAAGATGGGTCTCAGTGGGCTCCCAGTTTTGTGGATCTTCGGAAGGCCATAAAGCTGAGGAGTATGTGACCCAATTGCTTTAAGTTGTTTATAAAGTTTTTCATTTATAAAACCATGCATCAGTAAAATTTGAAGCTGACGATTGATCTGCTTTTCCACAAGCAGCACATTATCAGTAGCATTGTCCACCAGAAATTTGGACTGATCCTTGAGGATATCTTTCATTTTATTTTCATAATCCGATTTGTTCATAATGACAACGCCTTCTCCTATATCAGGTTTAAGGATCACAAGATTATCTTTTTGGATTAATTCCTTAAGTGCGGCGTGGTGTTCTTTTGATAAACCATTTTTCTGGTGTATTCTAGCATTTAGAAATTGATGAGAAATATCCACCAGCTTAACTTTAAACCAGTCTAGATTATCTTTACTAGAAGGAGTTAAATCAGAGATTTGATCATACAGGTTGTCATTATGAACAAATCGGATTATGAAAATAAAATGAAAGATATCCTCAAGGATCAGTCCAAATTTCTGGTGGACAATGCTACTGATAATGTGCTGCTTGTGGAAAAGCAGATCAATCGTCAGCTTCAAATTTTACTGATGCATGGTTTTATAAATGAAAAACTTTATAAACAACTTAAAGCAATTGGGTCACATACTCCTCAGCTTTATGGCCTTCCGAAGATCCACAAAACTGGGAGCCCACTGAGACCCATCTTAGATATGTCAAATTCTCCTTACCATAAAATCGCCAAATGGATTACAGAGGTCCTTACGCCTGTAAGAGACTCATTATCAAATCACTCTATAAAAAGTTCATTTGATCTTACAGAAATGCTAGACACCTTGAACATTAAGGAAAAGGTTATGTGTTCAATCGACATAGAATCTTTATTCACCAATGTTCCCCTTCAAGAAACTGTTGATTTCATTTGCGACTACATCACAAGCAACGGGATAAACTTACCTATTCCTGTAACGTACATCAAGGACATCATCTTAATGTGTACAGAAAATATTAGATTCACATTCCAAGGAAAAGCATACAAACAAATCGACGGTGTTGCAATGGGTAGCCCTCTGGGGCCCCTGTTAGCAGATATATTTATGTCGAAATTAGAGAAACAAATGCAAGGTATGCTTGGAGAATTTATGCTGTACAAACGTTATGTAGATGATACTCTTATTATTAGTAATAATAGCAAATCTATTGAAAACTTTATCACCCTATTTAATCATATCCATCCAAATATTCGAGTGACCTCCGAACTAGAATCCAATAACAAACTCGGTTTCCTGGATATTACTATGACTAGGAGAAATGATGGAACGATTCAGCGCTCTATTTTTCGTAAACAGACGTGGAGTGGACAATATCTTCATTTTACCAGTTTTGTTCCTATCCAGTATAAACGTTCCCTGGTGAAATGTTTGTTCTCAAGGGCTCGAAAAATATGTACGAGTGACACATTGATGGATGAGCTTCGACATATACATTCAGTTTTACTAGCCAATGGTTATCCAGAAAACTTCATCAATTGTCACGGTAAGGATAGACCACATCTTGAAAAGACAGCTTCTGTACCAAAGAAAGCCATCTTTATTAATCTACCATTCAAGGGCGACCAGATTATGCAGTTGACAGCTCAAAGACTTCGGTCAGCCATCAAACGCACATTCTACGCCGCATCTCTTTTTCTCACTTGCCGAACATTTTCGATCCCTGTACCTACGATTAAAGGACGAAATTTTGTGGACTCTACTTCAAACTGTATCTACAAGTTCACCTGCAGCTGCGGTGACACCTATATAGGTAGAACCAACAGAATGTTCCAATGTCGTCGAAAAGAACATGTTCCAAAATGGCTAGTAAATCATATCGAAAATCCTAACGCGATTAATCTGAATAGAAATCCAGCATCATCCATTGCAAAGCACTTATTAATGTCAGGTCACAAAATCAATATTAATGACTGTTTCACAATTATTTCACATAACTCTAATTCAAGGTTATTGAAGGTGATGGAAGCACTTTGGATTAATCACATACAGCCTAAACTGTGTATACAAAAATCAATAGACTTCAATCTTCGCCTACCCTGGACTTCATGACCTATCTTAATATGATTGGTCATTAGTATGTACTTTTGTTTTTATTTAACTGAGTAATTTTCATGAACTTTATTTTATCATTGTTAACCATGTTAGTTGTAAAGCGGTTGTAAAGAAACTACGAAATGATATCATCTCGCGAAATTTGTCTTCTTAATGCCTTATTCAAATTTATCAAAGGGACTAATTGTTTTAAATATAACTTGATAAATGTCTATAAATATGTGTTGATTTCCACAGTAAACGATCTGTTGCCTGGCCGTCGTCTTCTGTTGTTACAGTATTACTGCGTTCGGCTTCACACTAGCAAAATAACTATTATACAGTTAGACTGATGCGCCTGATATTTCAGCTGATTTCCACGACTACTTACCCCTTTTGTGGATAAGAGTTATTAAAAGAATAAATAAATCAATATTGAAAAAGGAATAAGAATCAACTTACGGACAGAAAAATATACATAAAGTAACAGAACCACATATATAAATATTAAAGGTGCATAATCCGCGAAATACGATCGATCACTATACCAAACAAGAAAAATGTGCCCAATTGATCCCGTATTCGATTTGTCGCTTGATTTCGTTACATCTGAAGGAATGTCAGTATCATTATGCAGATTCTTCATACGTGAAACAAGATAGTCCCGAAGTTCAGAAAAGAAGCTTAAAGAAAGATGTAAATATACAGAATGTAATTTATGTGATAAATAAATAAGTTATTGACTGTTTCAATTTGATCCACAGAGGATTTCATAAAATGCTTGGTCGATAATCTCAAGAATCGTTTATACATTGTGACGCAGGTGTATTCACGTCTTGTCTTCACATGCAGATTTTGAAGGTGTTTAGTGAGCTTCATTTAATTATTTTCATGCACATCCGCCTATTGTTTTCCTGTCTTTTCAACATATGACAACTTGAAATGGGGAACTATGAGTGCAAATTCATAAATGGCTAGGGCAATTAGTCAAAGAGGATTCATTAATGGAAACTAATTGTAAGGAGTAGTAGTAAGTAATTAATTAAAACGAATGATTCCTATGGTGGATGGTGACTAGCAAGCAGTAGAATCCAGGAAGCACATTTTGTTCTTATCTAGCCCTTATCCACTGGATTTATACCTGCAATCCCCAGTAAGCGATCGTGTTCCCCCTGGGACTCCAACCCGGTACCCAGCGTTTCCAATGCTAAAGCGCTGTCCACTAGACCCAAATGGCCCAAGACAAACAACCTCTTATACTTTAAGTTAAACTTCAGGTAATCATTGATGCGTCTGTGCTAGGGATTGATATGTTAACAGAGGCAAAATATTTTGGTCCAAGCAATCAACGCAAAAATCAAATTTAAGTTTAAAAAAAATAGTAATGAGACGATTCTTAGCTATTTTCAGCAGCAAATTTTTCGTCTTTATAATAACCCTAGGCCTTTTTGTAGTCCAATCTTAAGGCTTTCCAGCAATTTCGCAGCATACTGAGATGTTAGGCTAGGCAAACAAATTAAAGCTTTTAAACAAGCAGTTGCGCCTGTCGGTTCCCCATTACTACTATTACTTGCCTGATTAGGCCTTGTTTGACACAGACCAATTCCATTTCTTGACTTATGATTTGAAAACTGGGTGTCTAGACCAATAATTATTCTCTATAGTTTGATTTGTAAGGGCAAGTTATGTTTTTACACGTTGATCACGGATTGACTGATATCAATTAAAGAACCAGTGAAAACCAGGGAGTACTGGATAGCTGTTTCATCCTAGTTTGGGAATCATCGGAAGTACGCACCCACTGGGATTCGATGGTTCAATAGTTTTCTAACTGACATCAATCCACAATCAACTCGTAAAAACAAAACTAACCCTTACAAACCAAACTATTGAAAATTAATCTGATGCTTGTTCGTGACTTGCTACAGGATGGAGTTTCCTGGAGTTCTAGTGAGAAACCCTGACCAGTGAGGTCCGTCCAGATGTCACGTGTGAGGATGGATATCCCACCTACGACAATGGTTGGGGTCGAGCTAAATCACGAATTGGTAGAAGTTAGAATTCATGAGCGATTGAATCGGGTCCCAATGGTTGAATGATGTACGAGCCAGCTTTCCTTGTAGTCGGAAGGTTCTGGGTTCGAATCCCAGTTAGTGCGTACTATCGATGATTCCTAAACTAGAATGGAACAGCTGTCCAGTACTCCCAGCTGGTGGTTTTCAATGGTTCTAACTGATATCAATCCGTGATCAACTAGTAAAAAATAATGGTTCGTAAAAAAAAATTTCCATTGTGGCAGCATATAACCAAAGAAAGATATATAATCACAGGGTTGATAGAAAGTAGCGTTAATTAGACAGGATCTTCACTTCATCAAGGACCACTACAGCTGACATTACAGCAATCTCAAATTTCATTGAGACAAGAAGGTCACAGTAGACATTGACAGTTGACAAATTTTCGCAGCCGAAGTGAAATATAAAAGTATGCGGTAAGGAAACATTTTTTAAACACATAGAAATCTATGAGCTGAAGATATTTCAGTATTTTTAAGCATATAACACTAAAGTGCATAAATAAGGAGAGATACCTTTTTCACCAAATACTCATAACAAATGTGGACATTTAAAAAAAAGAGAGAGGAAATCACCATAACACTTACGAAGGTTTATACTCTCGAAATACTAAAGTCAATGCATATGTAACAGTTCGCTTTCTACTACACACTGAATGTTTCGATAGTCCTGTTGCCTTCCAAGGGAATCCAAAAAGAAGATCTCGTAAATTTCCTGCAGCAGCAAGTCGTATACGTGATAGAACAGATGATTGAGGAGATGATTGGACTATACCAAGATGATCTTCTAGCAGAAAACCAGGAGCCAATAAAAGACATCCAAATGTAGGTAGTACATTTTGTATTGCTTCTGAGCTTTCTACTTCACTGACTGCTCTATCCTCAACCTAGGATGACAGATTCAACATCGAATAAGGAAAATTGTTAAAGAGGGATAAATTTATTCAGGAAATTGTTCCAGAGATCAATAAAAGATTTCTACCTTTAGAAGTATAGTTAAGTATTAAGCGATCAGTTTCCATAAACGGCCAAGCATGGATAAACTTCAGTCTTCCTTTTCACATGCTTTCATACGTGGTTACGAGTTCATAGCCTCTGCCAAGTAAATCCTATCCACTGCGCCTTGGCGCGGTCTGTCTGTCTGGATTCAACATAGAACTTGGCACCGAAGTGCACCAGTTTGAGTTGCCACGTTCCAAATAGCACACAAAGTTAGACAAGAAGATGAATGAACAGAATCAAGAGTTTGACAAGTATAAGAGCGAAACAGAATGGGTAATGGTAGAAAGAAATATGAAAGATTACAGAGACTGAATAAATCTGTGCCATTGACAACGATTTTGAACCAAGTCACCTATCGTCTCCAGCCATTGGTTCCTAGAGTCCCGAGGGCCCCAACCCGGAAGTCTGTATCTCCCTACCTGACTCAGTTTAACTGTCAAGGATTTCATGAGGTTCCTTACGAAAGTGAAAGCAAACAGCTAGAGTTTTACAAACGAATTAGAGAACCTACTGGCCTACCTTAGAGGAGCAGAAAAATCCTACTTCTAAGCCTATATAGTGTACATGGGCTCCAGAATCCGAACGGAAAGAATGGCATACCGACCCGTTTTGATCACCGGTGACCATGGCGACGCAGCTCTTGACGCCGCTCCACTGCCTTGTGGATTACACTTCAAATCAAAGGCTCAAGGTTAATCCCTCAAGACAAACACCCGCTTCGGTTTGGCTGTGTAAAGGGCAGTATCTCAACCCTTGCATAGTGGGGCGTCTCTTGGTGCCCATAAAGTACCGAATTTGTGTTTTTAATTATTTCAAATAACTGAGTGAATACCATGTTATCTCTGTTCTAATTGCTGTTTCCTTCCTACACCAAGTGTAAACATATGCAATAATCACTTTGCTGAGATCTGTAACGGTACAAAAGAATGATGTCTACACACGTATTGTTTACAAGCAAAAATTGAGAGAAAATAAATTCAGGTGTCAACATATTTGAATAAAGTAACATTTAAGGCAATACACTTGATGCTTATTATTTGGTATCAAAACAATTTATAAAGGCGAGATAAATTTGGATAATGAGTATGCGTCAAGACAAAACTCTGAAATTAGACTATTTATTTAATATGCAAAACCAGAAAAACGAAAAAAAGATAAGAACCAAATGAACCGTTCAATAAACCATATGAGCTATTCGTAGTAATAAGATAAATAGATATAAGTTGTTATCAATGATTATTGACTTGATTGGTTGGTTTAAGTACTCGATTCTCAATAACCGAATTACAGGTTTGACCTATAAAGCGGTATTAATAGTACTTAAATAATAGAAGGGACCCAATACCTAGTTGCTGATTCGAACCAATATTCCTATTACTTGTTAATAGAGGTGGTTTACACTTTTGTGAGTTTAACAAATCAATAATTCCAAAAAGATGAGGGATTAGGTACAAGCAGAAATTAGGCGTTGCATAGTTATATCTGTTACTCTGTCTCAACCTAGTGTAACTGTATACTTGAGCATACCTTTCAACAGATAATTTTTTCTGAGTGAACTACCTTAGTAGAGTGGTGGTTTAGTCAAACAGTAAACTTATGATAGTCTGGTCGATAATAACCGACCAATTTACCCACATATTTGACATCACAGTCATTACATCGCTGTGCTATATAAAGTAGTAACCTCTTGATTACCCCGAACAGATCCTCAGGCCGACGGAGTTTTTTCGCTACATGAACTTATAGGTTTAAATGCCAGACTAACTGCGACACTATTATGAATCCTCCACTAAGTTCCGCATGTTCCTCCTCAACAAGGCAATAAATACTACTATGGTGGCTTTAAATTCCCTCCTAATCGTATTCTGACCATGATTAACCCCAAATTGATCATAAGTGCTTAGATCATTGTACTAGTTGATAATCATTACGAAAAGACAAAGTTAGGAAAATCAAACTATTACTTGAGAGGATAATGTATCATACCACCTCTGGGATCCAAAATGAATTCCATTTAAAAATGTATAAGCAAAAGTACGTGGAGATTGATTACGACCAACACTACTAATTCTGGAGGTCGGAAAACAACTCAAATAGAAAGTTATTCGACCTGATTGTTTAGATATTAATGACTGGAAACTCAAGAAATATCATATGGTTCATATACATTATAAAACAAACCTGAAAGCAGATGTCATCGAATGTTTGGCCATCTGATTTTCCATCATCTCCAGAACTTCTGAACTGGCGTACAAGCTCAACCATTTTATTGCTCTGCTGGAGTATATGAGTGACAGCTTCATGATTAACATGACACTCAGGAATCTTTGTTAATATTGTTGAGTGTACAATTATTTGAAGCATGTAACCAAGGCTTTTGTTCTGGTCATCATGAGTCTATTTACAAGGTTAAGTAAGATATGAAAAAAAAAAATAATAGTGAAACATATCGTAAATAGTATCTGAAAAAAAAATCAATTTGATATGAAAGTTTAATTATACAACATAGAGAGTAGATAAGATTAACTTACGAAAACATAACGTGAATCTTTAAAGGACTGGAACTCATCGTCTCGAACAACTGCACGATGTACAGGTACTTCTTTTACAATAGGAATCTGTGTTAAAGGATAGCTAAACCTATCAACTAAAACAGAACTTACCAAAGAAAAATCATGAGTATGCATACAGTGGTGATCACGGGTGCAGGATGTGTTGCAATAAATAATCCATGATTATAATACACCCTGGCAATCTTTAGTTTTAGCTTCTCCACAAACACGTCAGGAAATATGGTCCGACGAAAAAGCAACATATCTTGCTTTTCACAGGTCTCTGGTCACCTTTTGTGTTATTTCCACTTTTATCTATTGACAAAATGGGTTATAAATAGTAAAGGGCCTGTAAGAGAATTTAAAGATCGATAAGTTAGTCACTCAGTATGCAAATAAGAGTTTGTTATGAAATCAGAGTTGATGCATATATGCATCATTGGCATTTTAGATCACTACTGATCGGTAGGCATGATGGTCTGTGAAAGTTTCTATTACAAAAACCGCTTTGCTGGAAGGAAACATCAAAGTATATCCGATAGCAGCTGAGTATCGCTGTTACACTATAACTTGATTGAACACCAATGTATTCTAATCAATTTTCCGAAACAAACGAAGATGAGGAAATAATACAGAGCAGTGACCTTTACAGATATTTTTTATTTCTATTCATAATTTACACACTAATGTAAGAATAGTCCCTGTTCCAAAAAAATCCTAGCAGCGACATGTTATTGCCACACTGTATACTGAGAAGAATTCAAGCAATGTACTTACACTGTCATTACACTAGCGGGCTTAATACGAATACTGGCTTTAAAAAATTCTTAAATAGGCTCCAAAATAAAAGCTTTACATTATATATTCCGGTTATACACAGAATTCACGTATGCCATGAAAACCATGCATAAGAACCGACGTACAGTAGCTAAGTGCCAATGAAACAGGGGATGTCAGAGAAATGCCACATTTCCGAAAACTGTCGAATTTGTTTCTAGAGTCTCCCTTAAGCCTTCAGGTATATTATTATACTCATGATGTATTCATACGGGTAAATACAAATATATATATATATGTTAATACAAGTGCAATACAAGTATATTAATACCAAGGACAAGGTCAGCAAACATTCGCTGCTGCGAGAGCCGGCCTCGCACCCAAAGGAGAGAACGAACCGTAGTTAAAAAAATCCTCAACCCCTAGTCACACTACAGCGGTGCAGCACGGACGATGATAGCCAGTGTCATCCGAGTACTCCGACTGAACTAGAAGAAAAAACGCCAACAGGCCGGTTCCTGGGGAATCGGGGAAGTGGTGAGACTGACTACCAGTTGCCTGTACAGTAATGTGAGAGGGCTAAGAGGCAAAATAGCTGAACTTAGACACCTACAATCACAACTGAACTCCAAAATCATAATACTGACGGAAACCTGGCTAACCCCTACGGTGGCAGACAGCGAAGTCAGTATAAATGATATGGTCCTAGTCAGGCGAGATAGGGACCTGAAAGAAGGAGGTGGAGTCGCCATATACGTCGACAAACAGCTCAGATGTGTTCACGCGATGGACCCTCCCCTCACAGAGCTCCCTGACTCCATATGGTGCCACTTCACCGTTGGGTACTGCAAATATCTAGTGGGCAGCATTTATCGATCACCTTCATGTGGAGCAGACCACAACCAGGTACTGCTAAATACAATCTCAGCAACTCAAGACATGGGTTATGATCAAATTGTCATAGCTGGTGACTTCAATGCCCCATCTCTTAACTTGGTGTCGGGAAAAGCCCATGATAGATTTGATCGAAATCTGCTGCATACCATCAGGAAGGCTGGATTCACTGAAAATGTCAAGATGGATACTAGATGGGGCCCTGATGGGAAGTCTTCTAGACTGGATTACGTGCTCACTAGTGACCAGCTACTAGTGGAAAACGTTCAGATCACGACTCCCATAGGTAGTAGTGACCACGCGGTCATAGTATTCGACATAGTCCTCCGCGAGCGCTTACAGTGGGACAATACACAGCCCTATCTGTGTTATAACAAAGCCAACTACACCAAAATGCGAAGCAAATTGGCCTAAAAAATGGACAGAGCTAACAGTAGAAGAACACTGGAGAGTGGTAAAGGAAATCATTCACCAGGCGGTCTCAGACACTGTTCCTTTAGTCACACCAAAAGCTAGGAAGCAACGATCATGGCTAAAAAGGGGGACACAACGCCTTCTGCAGGCGAAGCGAAAAGCCTGGTTTGCGTGGCGACGATCGAAGAGTCAACCCGAACATGAAGTGTACCTTGAACTCAGGAATCGATGTAACATACGAGTCCGGAGCGATAGAAGGACATTTCAGGGAAACCTCGCCAATAAGCTTCTCGTGAACCCCAAAAGCCTATACAGGTTTATGTCCGAAAGAAAACCGACCAACCAGGGAGCATGCAATCTAGTGGGTTCTGATGGGAAATCTCTTACTAGTCTTGAAATGGCAGAGACATTCAGCCTAGCCTTTCACAGGCAACTAAACAGTAACGAGGATATTACCCCCACAGAACATCCAGATTACATCGCAAAACCAACACGCGAAAACCTGCTGGGTACATTTCAAATTACCCCGGCTATGGTACTTGCAAAATTGGGAAGGTTGGCTTCGGGAAAGTCTTCAGGTTGTGATGACATCAGACCATCTGTCCTGAAGCAGTGTTCAGAAAGTCTCTGCCAACCCCTAAGTGATCTGTTCCAACACTCCCTTGATGTAGGGAAACTTCCATGTGAATGGAAACGAGCAATCCTATCCCCTATCTTCAAGGGTGGTGACCGGCAGAATGTGACCAGTTACAGACCAGTTGCTCTACTTCCAGTGATATCGAAGATATTGGAAAGTCTCATTGACGACCACATGAGAAAATACTTCGATGGGACTAACCTTCTTCACGAAGCACAGCACGGTTTCAGGAGGGGAAGATCCTGCGTGACGAATCTTCTACTAGCTTGGAACGATTGGACACTATCCTGGGACAAAAAGGTACCAGCCCACGTGATCTTTCTCGACTTTGCGAAAGCATTCGACACAGTTCACCATGGTCTGCTCCTTCACAAAATAAGCAAGGCGGGTGTTTCTGGAGCACTTCTCGCATGGCTGAAAGATTACTTAGGCGAGAGAGAATTCTGCACCAAAGTCAACCGCATCCGATCATCCTGGCACACCTCGGCATCAGGGGTTCCTCAGGGTTCTATCCTAGGGCCGTTGATGTTTTTGATTTTTATCAACGACCTGCCCTCCCAACTAAACTGCTCTGCGCTTCTTTACGCTGACGACGTAAAGATTTGGAGAGCAATAAACTCATCGGAAGACTCAGATAGATTGCAGGCTGACCTGCAAACTCTGGGAAACTGGGCTCTGGCTAACGGAATGCCTTTCAACCTAAAGAAGTGCAAAGTAGTGCAACTTCATTCCGGCAGGTCACAGAGTGTAAATTACACCCTTGGTGGCCAGAACTTGAGTTGTGTTCCATCAGAGCGTGATCTAGGTCTTATTCTAACAGAAAAGCTAGACACCAGTGGAAATTACTCGAGGGACGTCGCCAAAGCCTACGCAACATTACACTTTATGCATAGGCAGCTGGGAGCTCTCACTCCCGAACTGTTCTTAAGGTTATATAAGGCATATGTGAGGCCACACCTTGAGGTGCATAATATCATTGCACCTCCGCTACTCAAAAGGGATGCTAACATTCTAGAAAGTGTCCAGAGACGAGCGACAAAATGGGTGATCGGCCTCCGCAACAAATCATATGAGGAAAGACTAAAGAAATTAGGTCTTTTCACACTTAGTTACCGTAGGCACAGGGGAGACCTCATCACCGTCTACCAGATCCTAAATGACCAGGCCCACCCAAATAAAAGCATCCTGCCATTAAGTGATTATAGGCTTCCACGAGGTAACCCGCTAAGGATAGCACACCAGAGACCAAAGACTCGAGTGCGATCACATTTCTTTTCGCTTCGTGTTTGCCGTCTCTGGAACGCTTTACCGGCGGCCGTGACTACAGCGCCATCTCTGGAGATTTTTAAGCGGAAGCTAGACAATCATGCAGAAATGCAAGGTTTGTGTCTCAATGGCTTATCCTCATAAAACTTGAAACCACACTGTCAATGGATAAGCGTACAAACTAAATCCCCACGACCTATTCTGCCTTCTCTCACTCTATCTTTTCCTTAGGTCACCTTTATTATTCCACTTATCTCAACCTATATTATCTACACTACAACCTATTATTATTATTACTATTCTGCTTTTATGACTACACCGAATGACCAACGGGAGTTAGGTCAAACTCCATTCACGGCAGCAATACAGTCCTAACATACTGCATACTACAAACCACATCTTGACCAATCCCCGCACCACTCCACTTGGAGTCCACCAGAGCTACAGCAGAATAGTTCGTGGGGATTTAGTTTGTACGCTTATCCATTGACAGTGTGGTTTTAAGTTTTATGAGGATAAGCCATTGAGACACAAACCTTGCATTTCTGCATGATTGTCTAGCTTCCGCTTAAAAATCTCCAGAGATGGCGCTGTAGTCACGGCCGCCGGTAAAGCGTTCCAGAGACGGCAAACACGAAGCGAAAAGAAATGTGATCGCACTCGAGTCTTTGGTCTCTGGTGTGCTATCCTTAGCGGGTTACCTCGTGGAAGCCTATAATCACTTAATGGCAGGATGCTTTTATTTGGGTGGGCCTGGTCATTTAAGATCTGGTAGACGGTGATGAGGTCTCCCCTGTGCCTACGGTAACTAAGTGTGAAAAGACCTAATTTCTTTAGTCGTTCCTCATATGATTTGTTGCGGAGGCCGATCACCCATTTTGTCGCTCGTCTCTGGACACTTTCTAGAATGTTAGCATCCCTTTTGAGTAGCGGAGGTGCAATGATATTATGCACCTCAAGGTGTGGCCTCACATATGCCTTATATAACCTTAAGAACAGTTCGGGAGTGAGAGCTCCCGGCTGCCTATGCATAAAGTGTAATGTTGCGTAGGCTTTGGCGACGTCCCTCGCGTAATTTCCACTGGTGTCTAGCTTTTCTGTTAGAATAAGACCTAGATCGCGCTCTGATGGAACACAACTCAAGTTCTGGCCACCAAGGGTGTAATTTACACTCTGTGACCTGCCGGAATGAAGTTGCACTACTTTGCACTTCTTTAGGTTGAAAGGCATTCCGTTAGCCAGAGCCCAGTTTCCCAAAGTTTGCAGGTCAGCCTG